CTGTGACGTCATTACATGTGAGCTCAATATTTAGGTTAGTTCTATACAAAAGGCAGATAAAAAAATGAAATTATAGAAATTGGTCAGTTAGTACATTTTGCTCGATAGTGTATCATGCTCGTTAATGGGTCTATATCTACAAAAATTATATTTCTTCAAAAATGATTTTAACATTTTTTCTCGTACATGAATTTGGCAAAAAGAGTCGTATGATCGAGATATCACTTCCGCTTCCTGTATAGCTTTGAAAATGATTTCTCGTAAAATTTGCATTTTCTTTATAAAATATATTCATATTTGATTTATGAAAATATGTCTTACTGTCTTTTCATATTTCGTCTGCATCTTGTCAAATCAAACATCGATTTTCTATGTATCAAAATATTTTGCAAAAGAATGCAACCTGAGAGCATCAGAGAGTTATCTCAACCTTGATTAATGCCAGGATGTCCAATCTCGCGAGCTATTTGTGTTCATTGTAAGATGATTTACAAGGTAAATATTTTAAATCAATATTCGATAGGCACTCGCAACTCTGAAAAATGATAAGTTTTATAACAGAATGTGATCAGAAAAGGACAATGTTCACTTTACTCTTCCAAACCTGTTGTTGTTGTTTCAAATTACTTTAATAATTATATAACAGGCTGTTAGTTATTTAAAGAATACGATAATCCATGCGTTCTATTTTTCCTTATTCCTTGTAATTATTGTGGCTTTAGTGGAATGCTTTTTTTTTAAAATATGAAAAATAAAAAAGAAGATAATAAACAGGCATGCATGTATAACGTTTGTTCCCACTTGTTATACTTCGGGAAAGGATGTTTACAGTAACGGTCATTTTCCAAAACTGTTATTTTTATTTCCTTAGTTTTTAAATTTTACACTGCTATACTGTAGCAATTGTTTTACTTTTTTTATTAATCTTTTATCACTCTTTAAATGATATAAAGCTATATATCAGAATAGAAGCAAAACTATTGTCTGAAAAATAAAATAGAAAATGCTTGTATGAGAAGATATGACGGTAAATTGCCTTAAAAGCGAACGGTGCTTGTACGGAACCATTGCTGAACGGATAAAAGCCTACTGATGATAACAGAATATGTGTTGGAGCTTTTTATTTTGTTTACCCACACTATGTATGTATGTTCAATAACAGAGACATTCCATGATAAAACGCATTCGAAAATCGGTCTAAAGATTAAAGAAACAATATAAATTTATTTTTAATTAATTTTACGAAAATGTGTTATTAGATATAACTTTAAACGCTTTAACATGCGATAGTTCCGTCTTTCCTTTTGCCATTATGTTAATGCTCAATTACGTGAAACTCCATCACAAGAGATTTGTACATTTCTATAATTTCACAAGCTTTTAATGTTAATTGTATTACCTTTTTCATAAACATGTTGAACTTTATTTTTATTAAAAATACACTAAAATATCAAATGAAGGCAATTACTGTCCTTTTAATTCCAAAAGAATTTAATTTAATTTTGATTGTTAAACTGTGTTTTGTTTCATTTCTTCAGAAGCATTGACTTGTCCTTCAGCCTAAAAGTGAGGAAGAAATTCGTGTTTTAAAATGAGTTTGTTGATTTTTTTTTCTGTTTTGGTATGTTTGGTTGTTGTTTTATTTTTTTTGCTCTTTTGCATCACTGATTATGACTTTACTTAAAACAGACCGGAAAAACTTGATTAAGAGTATGTTCAGTAATTTAAATGTCAATTGATTGTACATGTATCGAATGACGATTTTAAATAATGTTTATTGCATAATTATACTTCTGCAGAACAGAAGAGAAGTTATGACTGACTAAAAACACTGCTAAAAGGAAAAATAAGTAAATGTATTTTAAGATTACATTTAGTGAGCACAAAATACATTACAAACAACATGCTATTGTTACAAATAAGAACTCCCTATGGTAATCTATTTTGTGGTCAATTCAGCAAATGAAGTTCTATTCCGGTAATGGAGGAACATTGTGTAAAGCTGTTTTTCAAATAGGAGTTTTCAACGGTATGTTTCTAACTAATAATATTCGTCACAAAAGAAGCTGTGCTGAGCTTCATTTAAACAGACAAACCCAACTATTTAATTAATTTCACTTTTATCTTTTTTATTACTTTAAATTTATAAAACAGATTTTTAAAAAATAATACATTTATTAATTACAATACATATATTAGTAGATAAAATAATCTACCAAACATATATTTTAATACCCATGATATGATTAATAACTTTAATATAAATTTACGAGTTTATTTGTTCTTTAATTGATAGAGAATGATTTCTCGGTTGATCTTAATACTGTATGTGTATTTAAATTCGCGGAAGCAAATTTTCGCGTAAAGGTCCACTTTGGGGGTCTATACAAATATTCGCTCTATTTTGATTTCGCGGATGTGACTGCCGAAAATCATAAATTCGCGTAGAGGTTAAAAAAAGGAAAATTACTGTAATCATCGTTGGAGTTCACAGTTATTTCAATACCAGGTGTCAAACAATACTCTATTGTACAGAAAAAAAGACATTGTCTAGCGGACAGATTATATCAAACAAAAGAAATGCAAATTAAAAGAGAGACGTAATAAGTCAAATGAACGACCTTCGAAACTTAAAGTAACATAAGAGTTCTTGCTAGATATGAATTAAAAGTTGTTTTAAACATTATAAATGTGCTAAGCATACCATACCCAAATTGAAGTTAGTCGCGGGAGGGGACACAAAAATAGAGTTAAGACTGGCCTAAATACATGTTATTTTGCTGAAGATACATCGCTTTCAAATGTTTAAGATCAAGCTTGTTTTTAATGAAATAATAATGATGAATATAGTCTCATTGTCACAAATTTAATCGGTAATATTATTTAATTATTTTTGTATTTAGGCTGTTTAAAGCAATACATATGCTGCCCGTAAAAAAATAATGTTTTAGATTTTGAAAATAATAATTCAAATTTACCAGAAAAAAGAACATATGTTTGTGTATTTCCTGAAGAAAGACTGGCGCATTTTCAAAATCATTGCTTATCGGATAAAACGGTAGTTACAAAGTAGACTTGTACTTTGTTATGTTTATGAACAATATTCATATGTGTAAAATAACAGAAACATTAAATGTAACAGCTCATTTACAAATCGACCATAAAGTTGTCAACAACATTTTACCGGTTTATATAAAGTTTCTTAAATATTTATAGCGTGGCACCTTTTAAGGGCAATGACCAAATTCAGGACTTTATGTCTGGTATTAGTTTATCGCGTGCATTAATGAACTTTATATTCGACAAATGAACTGATGTGATAAAAAACATTTTTGAAAACTTAACGGTCATAATATTTTACTGCTATTTATAAAATCATAAGAACTTTTTTTAATGGTTAAACTTTAACTAGAGTTGCAAAATACACGAATTGTCAACTCCGTTGTTATTGTAAATTAAATACTTTAAAATTTAATGTTGATAACCTTTTTTATAGAAAAGCATTTTTGATATTGAATTTCGAAATATGCGGTAGGGATTTTAATGTAGGTTGGTTATTCCCATTATCATAATGGCACATTTCAATTCCTTCAAAGATAAGCTATCAACTTTTATCACAAATTTAAATGTAGCGGTACATTAATGTTTTTTACTTTAAAGCGGCTTTTAACTTTGACTTTATTTTCCGTTGGAAAAAAAACAATTCTGTGTTGTTTCAAGTTATGTTTTTCATTAATTTCATCGTGGACAAAGGCACCATGTCATTGTTAAACCTGCTTTAAAGAAGCGTCCCGAGAGCTATTTATAACTCATAAGTGACGTTCGTTTTCGAAATTGTTTCTAAAAATAGAAGACCGGGAAACGAATCGTCCTCTTTACTAATTTAAATATAAAAAACGGACCAGTAAAAAGAGGTAGCGAGGGATTTCCTTATTGTTTATGTATTCAATCGTCGGTAAATGATATCTTCAACCATTTACTCTTTTCATTTGATAATTATGTGAGACGATTTATCTAAAAATAACATAATATATTTAACCTTTAGAAAAGCTGAAGGCCGCTTTAAATCAGTAAATGTGTTTAATGCAATTAAAATGTATGGTAATCTAAGAGAAGATCGGCGTTAATACTATTTATATGCTGTTTTAATCTTCATCAAACTAAATTTATCTATGATCATAATATACAAATTTTACCTAATTCGTCACAAGATATTTGATTAATTTTTGGTAGCTCTACTCAGGTGCCCGTTCGTGCCTGAAATAATGCATGGAACGGCATCCTCCACCAGTAAAGCTGGAAATTTACCTATACTATGTCGGTGCGACGTAAAGCCAAATTAAAAAAAATCAATTAACCTTAAATGAATTCGGTTTTGTTCTATATTGAGAGTTTAAATACATTAATTACTTTATAGAGATAAAAATATTCATCGTAAGTTTCTATATCATTAAGGTCACGCGCATCTCTTTATAAAATGGACCAGAAACATAAAATATATGATATTTTCTATGCTGCGTGACATAAATAATTGCTAATATATCAATCTTAAATGGGTTACATTTAACATATTTCCCTATGGTAATCACTGAGAAGAAGTTATGTGTGACTAGAAGTAATGCTAAATAGAAGAAATAAAGGTGTATGGCTATCTTGTTGATTGCACTTATGTTATCGACCAAATACTTGTCAGTTTTCTACAATAATATGTGTGTTATGAAAAAGTCTTTTGCTCGAAAAGTATTCCAGTCTGCCATCCCTTCATTAGGAGTAAGACACCATAGCATCCAGGCAACCGCTCCGGCAACATTAACATAAGGGTCTGTGTTATATTTAAATACTTGTTGGACCTTTATCATTTTGATCACTTAATGATAGATAAGGTTTTACTAGTTGACCTTTCACTTAAATGTTACTAATGAACACATCGTATTAGTTTGCGTTTAAATACTTCTTATCTCGCATTGTTTGATCAAGATTTTACAATCATTTATGTGCATTAACGTATTAATTATGTGATATTTTAAACAATGAAAATATTATCGCTGCAATTCACATGTATGTTCCTATTTTTCCACGACCGTCTTGTGCTTGTGGATACGGAAAACATCAACGAGACGAATGTGATAGATTTACGACTCCCCTATGTCAGAGTTCCTGAAACAAAAACTTACTATGTTTGTCAGCAATTTGAGGTAAAAGTTTTCTTATGTATTCAGTTATTTATCATCTAGTTATCATTTGATTAAAGAAGTGGTGATAAATGAGCAAAGTCCTTAGAGTCGTTGTTCTTTGTCACCTCAAGAATATTACAGTTACTTTTAAGATGTCATATATTCTGTTTCTGTTTTCTGTAATATTGTATGGCCATCTACATACGTATAATAGGTTATTTGTGTAAAGCACGTTCAAAGTAATAGCTATAACGCGTGTATGACTTTCCGTATATAACACTTTCACACAGCAAATTAATAAATTTATTATTTTAATGACACTTTTGTTTGCAATTTATGTTCAAAATATTTTCTATTGATAGATTATGTTGTTTGAACTATTTTTTTAAATACACTTTGTTTAAAGCACCAGGCCTCCAGATTAATGAATTGTTTCCTGAAAAATTTAAATGTATTTTAAGAAAAAATCTTTTATTGTAAACAAAGAAAGTTATTTACACATTGTAATAGGCACTTATGATACCAAAAAGGGGTCAAAGTATAAAAAGATATCCCTTTCCGCGTGAGTCACGCAGTAGAAACTTTGTGATGAATGAGGCAAAATAAGTCATTAATCGCATAAAACTACTAAATAATTACTTGAATCATGAATCGTGTTTCCTTTTAGCAATATTAGTACATTTTTCTCAGGTTTGATTTTCTTGAAATATTTGGTTCATCTGGAGGTATGCAACTTTAAACCGGATGCACCTTGTTATCCCTATTTTTTGGTACAATGATAAATTTCCAAACGGAAAAGTGATATTTTATTGATTTTACTGAGAGTTATTTTTTTATTGACAAAGATATTAAAATGATAGAAATTAGTGAAACACGCATATGTCATTATTCATTTTATTAATCATTTTCCTTTGAAAGGTCAAAGATGACATACCATATCACGTCACGAGATTTGAACCAATCATAAACAATACTGATATCATTCATCACATGCTTGTATTCGGATGTGACTTCGAAATGGATGAAAAGGTAATAGTAATATTTGAAATTTGTAAACATGCCAACAGTCCACAAAAGTGAATTACATGCATATTAATGAACTTTAAACACCTTATTTTTCCACCAATATAGACTAACACTAGGTTTATTTTAAGCTTAATTTGGTTTAACATTTGTGATTCCACGTTAGTCTTCACAGTGTAATCACCGATTGAAAAGATTCACACTTGTAAATTAAAATCGAAGAAAAGAGGAACAAAATTTGAAAATTTTGATAACATGTTATATATGTGTTTATGGTCCTTAATGAGATTATCCTGAGAAAAATATTGAGAGAAAAGGCCTTTATTATGATAAGGTATTGTCCTCTGTTTAGATAATTATATTATCTACGAAATAGATTACATGTACCTTATTCTGTAAATAAAGTGACATTATGCTCATATTTCCATTGAGCAGTCAATTTAGCGGACTTGGCTATACATTTTAAAATATTTAGTGTTATAATGTTTATTAACCAAACATTTCTGACTATATTATTTTCGGCAATAACAGATGAATTCATCATTATCATTTATTGATTTTTTTATGAATTATTTTACAGGGGCCTCATCCATGTGACTCGTTAGACTACAGGTGTCACACATGGCTCGGCAAGTGGGATGTTGGAATGGATGATCTTATAATGCAAGATAATGGGGGTGTCAGAATAGGGAAAGGTTCGTTCAAGTATCTATTACTGCAGATACACTGGAATAATGAGATGGGTTTGAAAGATGAAACTGGTAGGTGATGTGTGATACCTTCACATGACGTACATTTTAACTCTTTAAATTCATTATGTTTGTCATGTGTTTACATATGGTAAATTGCAAACGAAGCGATGTCTTTACACTGTCGAAAACGAATTAACCTTGTAGGTCTTTCTTCCCTTACCCCATTGCGTTTCGTGGTTTCCGACAGGGCAGTTTTTTTTAATAATATTTGGCCGAACTTTTTTATTTAACACACATTCTTCTCATAACTATAACACAAACTCTGTTTCCTTCCAGACGATAACTCTTGAATTATATTGAATTGGATAGTATTTATTAACTGTACAAAGGTATGATATCATGAAATACAGGTTGAAATCGAATTAAGAATAACACCATTAACTTGTTCACATGGTTATTATAATTCACATGGTTATAATAATACCCTTTTGTCCTTGTTATGTATAAAAGATAATTACTCAATACATTGATGTTTCATCAGTACACGACCGCTGTCTTTTATATTAATAATTTAAGTTTACTGTGTCAACCACCTAGAATTTCATTGCGTGTTGACAAAGTTAAAACACATATTTGAAAAAATTATTAACATGTCAGAATTGATTTAAACGAATGGTGTCTCAAGACAATTGTACTCAATATTACATTTAATGTAAATTTCACACACCTTAAAATAAATGGCAACAATGATAACAAAACAATATGTTATATGATACACAATAGGGTTATCACCTTTAAGCACTTGTTTTCCAGACAGTTCTGGGATGCGGTTGCATGTTACTTCTCATTTACGTGCAAACGACATCGGAAATGTTCAAATTGGTCAAAACGACATTAACATCCCCGGGGAAACTGATCACGTTCTTATATCCGGAATATGTCCCGGTAGATGTACGGGTCTTATGCTACCATCACCAATCTATATTACAAACGTATATTTGCATATGCATGGACTAGGTAAGTTGTTAATATTTATTATTTTCAATTACTTAAACGACCCTTGTTGGTGATAAATATTTTAGCTTTATTTCTTTGTTGTGCGGTAACTCGTAATAATTTGAAATGTCTGTTTAAGTTATTAACGCAAGTTTTACTTACATGACTTAACAGCAACGCCCCATGAACGTTTCCGATTATATCTGTCTCTGAATCAACGCTTGAAGTTATTGTTTACTGCATGCAATCGCATTCTTGCCGTTACAAAAAAAAACGCAACGACGTTTTAGTTTAGTACTACTAATAATAAAATCATTTGAAATCCGTTCTGTGGAACTCGTTTCATGAAATTAGTTTGATAAAAATTTTAAAAAAAAATATGATAAAAGAATATAAATTCTTCATGATAAATGATCAAATCACTAAAATATTTTAATAATAAATGGAAATCAATTTTGAATGCATTGTTGTCGAATAATTAATACACAGTTCTTAATCAAATGCGCTGTAGTATATAAATCAAAAAGACTGATAGCACTGAGCAGTGTCTTTTGTTGCGATTAATGCTTCCGAAGGATCACCATTTTTCCAGATTTTTAATTACTACAGCAAATCTCAGGTGCCGTCTGGCAGCTGTAAAAACTTACACCGTACTTTACTTCAGTTTGTAATATTTTTTTTTTCTTTTCCTTTTGGATCATTGATTTATATGAATCACTTTTACATTGTTCGTGTTTTTAAGTGCTAGAGGGTTTGAGGGATGTTGCACTTTTTTATTATCCCTCATGTACAGACTCATCGAGTCTGCAATTTTCGTGTACTTTAGTTGTAATTTATGCTTCCGAGGATCATCCTGTTTCCGTACCTTAAATAATAATTAAAACCTGACTATTACTTACAAAGCATTTGAACGATAAACCCGCATTTTAAAAGGGGGAAATGTTAAGCGGGTTAACTTAGAATTTTGAGATATTCTGTTTACGTACACAATGGCTTAGAGCTATAAAATGTTGCATGAATTATAATTTTCAATGCTAGGTGTAAGGGCGACATTGGGCATCCATCGAGACAGAGAAGTAACTGAGACCATAGCAACAGAGGACAACTATAATTATACAAATCCTATCTGGCACAATATGTCGCCACCTGTGAAAGTTAATCCGGGTATTTCATACAATGTTTTTTTTTAACTTTTAGAATCATAATTAAGTCACGACTACAATTTGTCCATGACACACATTTCACGGAAACAACCATATTCAGCTGTATGTATTTTAAACGAAACCTGTATGATTATTGGTGCGTTTGGAATACTTGCACAAACCACCACCCCTACCCCCACCCCCGCAACACCCTAGATATCAGCATAAAGTAATCACATGTTTCTCGTTAAGTCTTGTGGTGGGAGTAAGCATAAATCTTAATAGTACTGTGTATACTTATAAATGAAATATTGAGAAATATTGGTAAAATAAAATGCGTATTTTCATTTTTAGTATTTCAATCTAAAAGTTTATTTTTTACTGCAGTGAAACATATTTTCCGTACTTTCGCTGGTGTCTTGACGGACTACTTTATTATCTGAATTCAGCCAATACACAAAATTAAAGGGAAGTCTTTCGATTTGTAATGTCAAAAAAGAACAAAAATGTATACAGTAAACAGAAATTTATATTTTATATAAATACAGGATTTGCCTTTATCTTGTGGTTGGAAATATATCAATTTTACTCGTTGCTATATATTTATTTTTATGATTATATTTATTAGCGATAATATGGAATATATTCTACACAAGAGTTTTTATAATACTATTATGATAAATACAGTATATCGCATTGATTACAAACCATTGCAGGAGAGCCTATAGAAATAAAATGTTGGTTTGACAGCAAGAATGGTTTGAGATTCAGACAAAATACAACGAATTATGGTCAAGGAACAAAGGTAAAAAATAGATATAATTATTTTGAAGGAGCTTGTAATTATGCAAATATGATGCTATAAATTTGATGTATTCTGTCATCACACTACTTGTTTCTTATTTATATATGTTTTCATAATCGCTTTTTCATTCATAAGATAACTGACTACGTGGTAGGTTTATTTGTGAAAATAATTTATGTAAATATTTTATAATTTAAATAATATTATATGAACAACTTATTGTCTAGGACCTTACTGTTATGCCAGTAGCTCACGTACGAATACCATAGTTAACAAGTACTTTTTTCATACTCTCCCTAACCAAAATATTGATTGATACACATAATGATATTAGTTGTAATACACATAATGTTATTAATATATCATTTAAAATATGGTAATATAGGACAAAATTCTGATTATTATACAAGTTCTCATCCTATGGCCCTCTTATCTGTACACAGACCTGTGGTATTATTGACAAAAAAAAAACAAAAACAACTTTGTTAACATGCTACATATGGAAGTATTTGCGCATAAGTGCAAGAACGCAAGATCCAAAGTTCACGTTATTTTATCACACAAGTGAAAATGATTTAAAATGAAAAAAAAAAACAACCTTCAGTAGATTTTGTACAGTTCATACACCATTTTTTTTAATGCAAGTTGAAATCAAGCGTCTATATAAAAAAAGTACGGGTACGGCTTTTGTAAGGGAACTACTCACATGTCAGTAGTCCAAATACAAATATATAATTTGATCAGAACTCCTAAATAAATTAACTCGTGCTTTATAAAACAAACTATGCTTTGATTAATTTCAAGCTTGTTTTATTTGCAGGCAGAGATGTGTTATGCATTCATAAGATACTATCCAAGAATTCTTGGCTTCGACCAATGTCTTCAAAAAGGAAATAAGACGTTGAATTGTTAGTTTATCTGTATGCTATTTGTATTCTATATTAATTTTTATAAGTCATTTTTGTGATTTATCATTAGAATTAAAATGATGATGAGCTTTATAAAATCATTCTTAGGTGTTGTTTTATATGTTATTCTTAAATAAATGTTGTTTATTTAACTACGTCAAAGACTAGGATACCAATCCCCCACACACCACCACTACTACCACCCACCCCGCAACAAACGCACAAACGCACACTACACATGCACACCACCACCTTTACCACCATGTGTAATATCGCCGTTTCTATCGCTGTTAACGTCGAATATATATGATTTACGTAAGTCGTATTTACCCATTGTGAATTTTACAGATTATTCTTTCCTTTATAAAACACCTATATCTAACAAAACATTGAGTAAGCATAATAAATATAATTCCAAAATATTCACCATTCAAAAATTACCAAATTGGCGATAATTTGTACAGGACATGGAATCGGTACCTTTAGAAAAAATCTCATTTATACACAAAGAAAAGGAAATTCAAATAATATGCATTGCACGGAGAACAAAATACATTTATTGTTAAAGGGAGCAAACTATGACGGACATTCATACTAACGGTTTTGACTTATTGTCTCCCTTAGTCATGTTCAAATCGTAACGACGATGCATCTACCAAATAAAATAGGCACATTACCGGTGGTCGCGTAATAATCACACGGCGTAACCAGGTTTATGGTTAATAAATGCAATTCTATGTACCTTTTGTTGTTTTGATTGCTTCCTTTTTTTAGGACTTTAAAGGGAACTCCACCGAGGTACAAAACACCTAAAAACATTTAAATTGAAATTCTTGAAAATGTCAAGTGAAGCACTGAAAATGGAAACTTTGGCAAATTAAAACAAAAAAATATTCTCAAAATTAAATTGAAAATCGATATTTTTGTGCGATTCTTAACCGGATTTGAATGAAAATAGTTGCAAGGGTTTTCATTTTTGAGTCATTGCTCATAATAAAAATGTAAAGTGTGGAAGAACTTAATGAAAGAATGACACACAAAAATATGCACTTAAGTCTACATCAAACAGTGCAAAAATTAAAAAAAAAATCAAAAAAATAAATAAATAAATTCCAATCATGTCAAACACCCCAGTGGATTCCCTTTAACGTTTTTTAATTAGATCAGGACATTACACATATATCTTGTCATATATATAGCATGTAGGACAGAAACCACCTGACATGAAATACCTTCTGCGTTTTTTTCTTTTGGCTATTTGTAGCGACACAACAAGTCCAATATATGGTTTGCAGCTATGGAGTCAAAAGAATCGGTATTGTACACAATAATGTGGACTGATTATTTAATTTAACATCCAACATGGACAACATATATAGATTTAATCCAATTATATGATAATATTTTGTTCTGGAGAATTAAATTGGCTGCTATGCAAATAGAAAAAATAATTGTTTTATTTGATCATGTATTTCACACAAACGTATATAGTTTTCTTTCGTGGTTTATTGCTATGTCTGTACTCTATATTTTCAACATAATTATTAATTGATCAAAGTATATCTTTTTCAAACATACTACGAATCGCCATTCAGCCATATATTTAAAACATATGTCTCTTGAAAGAAACTACTTTCTAATATTTCTGATTTAAAGCGATATACTGTATTTTGGATGAGACACCAAGAAAAATATTAGCTTCTTTCTTGAACGCTTGAATAATACAGGTAAATGTATACATCTTTTTTTTTCAAGTAAGCCTTTCAAGACAATATAATTACGAAAGATGTATTGATAGATGAAAGCACTTTTTTAAATTAAAGCCTTTATACGATCTTTAGAATTGTCTACACTTATATGTAATTGTTTCAATGAATAATTTGTATTGTATGATTTTATTACCCTTTTAATTGTATTCTGAATATAAAGTTGATGCAAACCATATAATAATCTTTGAGTTATGTTGTGTACGGCCCGTTAGATGTATGCAGAATGATGTGTTGCCTAAGCAATAATATTAGCTACTACGTTATAGCGCAATAGGGTATTGTTTTATAATTTCTGCATATTATACTTATGTTTTGTAAGGTTGAGACCGCGTAGGTTCATGCACACGAGGTATGATAAAAAAAAGTTCTCGGCCCGATATACTACTAGCCACTTCACTGACATTTACACACGATACATCGGTACCGATATCTTATTGAAGATTACTGACCGAGTGACACGCGGTTTTACACATATTAAGTAACATAAAACACACTTTGATAGGTAGAAGGTGTGTCATTTAGACAAAATGGAGGAAGTTGAAATCAGAGCCGTAATTAAATACCTCAGTAAGAAAGGGATGTCGTATAGTCTAGCTGTAATGGTGATGAATAAAGGATATGACATAGCAAGGGCATTAAAAATAACATAAGGGCTGCTAAAAATAATAGAAAACAAAACAATATTCAATTACCATTTGACGGTAAATTTGAAATAATTGGTGCAAATTTCAAATTTACCGTCACTGCATTTTGGTGATATATCACCTTTTGAAACAAAAACAGCAAGATGGCTTATGACGCCAATGTTCATGGGGACATTTTACAACTACAGCGCCTCGTTTGAAAATACTTATCCTGTAGGCTACCCGCAGCTTGGTTACCATAAACTAGTCCACCTTGTAAGAATTAACTGTGCTACAGAAGATGATGAAATTGATGATTTCCTTGTCATTGAAAAAGTTGATAACCACGGTTTACCTGATAAGTTATACAACTATGTCAATGACAAATGAATGTTCTTAATGTAAATATTGCAGATGTAACTTATGTCAATGTATCAGTTTTCAGTTCAAGTAAGAATTATAAATTTGTCACACTGAGTTTAAAAACAAATATGGCTGTTTGGTTCTACACCAGACTTGAATATACTTTCACCAATCCTGACCCATCAGGGAACGAATATTTGCTTCAAGCAAATCTTTATGGCAACGGAAGAGAACTGCTTGTAATGTTTGGCAGACAACACATATCAATAACTCTTTCTCCCTTCATATTTTAGATTTTCTAGAAGGTATTCCTCCAGATGAACTTCTTACTGATGAAGTTGACAAAGTTTATGTTTTAATTTATGGACCACGTAATATGTATCAACTACAATTTAACTTGACGGTATACACTGTGAAAAAACCTTCAACTCAAGCAGAAGATTCCGGAATTATCACTATTTATGTCCATGATATTTATAACGACAGAATTGAATTAAGTTTCAGAAGAAATGATATAAAAAAATACAACACCATAAAGAAGTCTATAACGTCTGCTGTGATAGCAGTAAAGTGTAGTCTATTGAAGCTTGGGCCGACGGTATATGTAGCCATGGCAAAGGATAGTAGTATTCCACCAAACAAACGTTACTATAACTGTATAATAGAAAAAAACATCAAGAGTACAACAAAACCTACACCTGACACTAATTCTACTCTTCCTGCATCAAACACCTTACCACAACACCGCATTCTTCGGTTCACAATACGACTGCAGGTATAACTGATTTATCCACAGGAGGAAATTATAAAGGGACAACCGTTTCTTCCTCTAGTAATGTTAACGCTGAAATATCTTTTGTGTTACTGGTGCTTTTTTCAAATATATTTTCATAAAATGGTTAAGCATGGTAAATTAAAATACTGCGACAAAATGTACAATAAAGCAAGCAACCATATGTTTGTGAAAGCAATACCGATAACCTTTGTTATAAGCTTGCTCTTAAATCAAACACAGCGAACATCAGCGTCTTGTCAGATATTAAGATATTTGACAGATATTAAGATATTTGACAGATATTAAGATATTTGTCAGATATTAAGATATTTGTCAGATATTAAGATATTTGACAGATATTAAGATTTTTGACAGTACAGTTACCTTTTATTTTTCTTGATTTTAAGAAAAAAAAATCAAAGAAATTATAAAAAGATGTAGCAGACGACAGTATTTCCCAGCATGTATAGCGTAGGCTAAGGGCAGTGCTACAAAACATTGTTTTATCATCCAATGTCGACATGCTTACATACATATTTGCAGATCATCTTTTACCCATGAATTATATCATTAAATTGTATTATGTAATCGTTACTTGTATAGTCTATATTTTCTTAATTATCGAGTATAGTCAATATCTTCTTACTTATTTAGTTTTGCTTCTCTGATCATTTAATGTCATCAACATGCATAGTAATTACTTTAATTGAGAATGCTGCTGGCCAAGACACAAAAAAAACAAAAACATTTGGATCGGACCTTTAATTGGATGTGTCAAATATATTTATTTAAGTATTGTTTAGGACGCAATCCCAGCGAACACATGACGTTGTTTCAACGTTGCTCAGACGTTAGAGTCCGACGTTGGATAGACGTTGGAATTTAGTTGTATATGAAAGTTTTTTAGACGTCAGAGTCCGACGTCAATCCAACGTCATAAAATGACATAAATCCAAAAATTATTCAACGTAATAAACTACTTTCCAAAAACCTTTCCCAAAGTTAATCCAACCATTTCAACAATTTAAAAAGTTACTTTTCGTAATACCAACTATTTCCAAAAGTAACCAGCAATCCAACATAAAAATTTTACCCGTTTTATTTTAAAAATTCCCAAAAAAAGGAAAAAACAAAACTTTTTTACCAAAAAATATTTTTCATTTTTGAAAATGAAAAAAACAATTTAACAAAAAATTTTAACACGTTTTTTGATTTATTTTCATGTAAAATTAAAATACAGTAAAATATTTTTCAAACACTTGATAACATCACAAAAATTGACTCACTTTTAACATTATATTAATTTTTTAATAAAATAAAATTTTAATTAAAAAATTGACTACCAAAATTTAAAAAAAAAAAGCTTTTTCATTCTTTTTTAAAATGAAGTCAAATTTATCAACCTCTTTCAGTAATTTTCAATAATATACACATTTGTAATCCAAAATTATAACAAACAACAGTCAACAAATCATTTTTATTTAAAGGTCTATGTACAGTATACATTAACTTTTACAATATATTGTCAATTTAAGTATTAATTTTACAACATGCTTTACAAAAGCTTCTTTTTTTTTAATAACTCATTTACGAAAATGGAAACGCATGGAAAATAAAGCTTTCTTTTGCAGATGGATTCATCGGTAACATAATCGGATAAGAGAGGAAAAATATTCCTTTCTGTCAAAACTTAAGTGTAAACGCAAAACAATAAATAAATAAATTTCGCCATTTAAAGAAAGTAAGTAATTTTTTATCTTTTTTTTTTTCAAAACATAACTTAAAAGTGTTAAATTTGGAGATATACTCCTCCATGTGAATAAGTCTGGTATACTAAACGTCCACCACTGGATCCTGATTATTTTCATCTACGAAGACACTGTGTCAAACTTGTTTTGAGGTTCAACTTGTTTTTTTCCTTGAAACTGCAAAAAAGAAACAGAAATAAATAGGTGTACTATAACAATCAAACTGGTCAATTAAATTATATTAAATAGAAATATTATTACCAATAGATTACCCTAGCATATCATAAATTAAAATCAGATGTCGATTGATGATGTAGAACACTCAAAAAATGTACTGTAACTTCAAATATATGTAATTTACAAAACAGTAACATGTAAAGGTGCAAATTCAATCATAAGACATTTCACGTTATTATTTTACTTTTGATTAACAGTTATGACAAAACAGAAATTACAGTAAATAACAAAATCAAAATCCATATATTACCTATATTTGAGGCACTTATCATTCTTTTATGTCCAAATGGTGTTTTCTGTCGACTGTTTTTCATGCAGCTAATTGTCATCACACAAAAATTAAGTGTCAGTCTATAAAAAAAAAACCCCAATGTTTATTGACAAAAAAGTTATAAATTTACTTTGACAGTATATTTATGTATTGACAGAGCCCTACTTTGATCTTTTACATGTAGAATAACATTTGAATAACAATAGATTAAATCTCAAATATTGACAGGTGTTCCTTTGTTAACAAATACGTTGTGGTGAAATACCTATTGTTATCCAGTCTATTAATCTGATAAATCGAATTAGAGAGATGAAGCTCAACCCAAAGAAGGCAGCAGGCCCAGACATGATCTCTGCGCGCATCCTTAAGGAGATGGCTGAACAGTGTTCATCATACCTGGTCGTCATCTACAAAAAGTGCCTCTCTTCTGGCAGCATACCTGAGGTGTGGTTAACAGCCAACGTGTCAGCCATATTTAAGAAAGGGGAGCGCTTCAAAGCCAGCAACTATCGACCGGTATCCCTCACCTGCATAGTCTGCAAGATGCTGAGCACATCATCGTTACCCAACATAATGAATCATCTGGATAGTCACAAGATACTCACCGACAGCCAGCATGGATTTAGAAGAAGGCGGAGCTGCGAAACCCAGCTACTAACGCTGACAGATGAGCTCACCAAGTCCATGGACCGGCGTAAACAACATGACCTCGCTGTACTGGACTTCAGCAAAGCCTTCGACCGCGTCCCACACAGTCGCTTGCTTGTCAAGCTCCATCATTATGGCATCCGGAAACCATACCCTGAAGTGGATTGAGGCATTTCTCACAGGCCGCACTCAGCGCGTAGTTGTTGATGGAGCAACGTCCGACCCAGCACCCGTTATCAGCGGAGTCCCCCAGGGAAGTGTGTCGGACCCATATTCTTCCTGGTCTTCATCAATGACCTGCCACTTTCATGTCACGTCCAAAGCCAGACTCTTTGCTGACGACTGTGTGGTATACCGGGAAATCACCACTGAAGAGGACTGCCACATTTTACAGGATGAGACCTGAATAAAGTTGGCATTGTGGAGAAACGCTGGGGCATGAGTTTTCCACCCAAGAGAAATGCAGCATAATCAGGGTCCACAGGAAGAGGAACCCCATCATATACCCGTTCTCCTTGAAGGGCCACACATTCGAGATAGACTCGATTACCAAGTACCTCGGAGTCCATATGTCTGGAAACCTCTCCTGGAATCAACATGTTGACAAGATCGTGAAGAAGGGCAACAGTACACTCGGCTTCCTTCGACGCAACCTGCGCAACAGCAATGAACAGGTCAAGAGCACAGCCTACATGTCACTCGTGCGACCAGGCCTTGAATATTGCTCCACCGTCTGGAACCCTTATACCAAGGACCTTACACGCAAGCTCGAGATGGTCCAGAGGAGAGCTGCAAGATATGTGACGAACCGTTACCACAACACAAGCAGCGTATCCTCAATGATCCAACACTTGGAGTGGGAGACATTAGAGTCACGACGGACCAAAGCCCAGCTGACCATGATGTTCAAGATCACCAATGACCTTGTGGACATACCAGTCAACGATTATCTCACCCCTGCCCCGAGCCGCACTAGAAGTGACCACTCCAAGAAGTTCCATCTACCATCCACATCTACATCGTACTACAAGAACTCCTTCTTCCCTCGTACAGCCACAATATGGAACAGCTTACCTGCTTCCGTTGCAGAGGCCCTGACTTTGGTAAACCTTCAAGCAGGGCTATCAGCCCTCACATTTCTAAGTCGCCTTAGGGGCCCAGCTACAAGTACCCACTAGTGATATCCAAGGTTGTGCCGGCAGCGGCCACCGTAACCGGAGAGGTTTGGGTTGAAGAGGCGAAATATAGCTGGCCATACTTTTTGTCTAAATCTCTACCTTTGTACTATCCAACCTCTTCTAACTTTCTATCATTTCTTGTATATTTCTTTTTCTTGACCTAGCACCACCCGTCGCGTCATAATCAAGTGTGATTGCGCCGACGTACAATGTAGATATAGATGAAGGTCATGTAGGGGTCTTGGCTTAAAATGACAACACAAATAAAACAAAAAGTTTGACAGAATTTCATACAATTTATATATCAATTGAATCCCAAAGTACGAGTTAAATGAGGGCGAATCAGACTACATTAATTAACTGGTTTAGAACTGAGATAATTGCATATCATGGAAATATAATTATACAAAAAAATTTCCACTATCAAAATTATAGTTTTATAACTATAATTTTGATAGTGGAAACAATTTTTTTTTATATAATTTCATCGGTGGTTTTGTATTTGGTACCTTATAGTAAGCCTTAGAGTGTTGATTTTTTTTTCAGGGTTGTAGTAGGGGTCTTGGGGCAGATAGGAGTTGGTGTCCAAACACTGATACTGCCACCTGTGGTGTTTACTGGGATGAATCCTATTTCAATAAAGGCTCTGTTATCACTTTAGAATTATTATGTAAGAATAATATTCCTGTTATAACCATACTTTTACCTTAGTAATTTGTTTCTAATGTGTGGACTAACACAGCAATTACATGTAAGGTCTTTGTTACATATTATAACCAATGTTTGGTATTGTTCGTAGAATTTAAGTGCCGCCCGCTGCATGTGTCAATTTATGACTTTTTTGTTCATTTGATTTTTGAATACGTTTTATAAATTTTCATTAGAAGTATTATGAATCTGTAAACATGCTTCTATAATACTGTTGTCCTCTTTATCCGAAATACTGTGTGATTATTTTCGCTTTAAAATAGATAACTATTTAAACTCGTGTTAAATCTTCCGTGAAACTTATCTACAAAATTCCCCGTTTTGTTCACTCCAATCTAAATTTAGTATGCAATATGTATATGTATCATATGATCAGCGATATGTTAACCAATGAGAACCAGGGTTTACGTCATAATGGGTATATTTCACACAGCGACAAGATAAACACCGATCGGTTACATTAAATGTAATTTTTTAGACTACTGTACAGTATGCTTGTTAGGTGTTTAATTTTGTTTGATATTCAGAAAAATGAACCTTAACACAAAAGATATTTTCCTACGGTAAAATTATATGGCATAGTGGTAAAATGTCAGAAGACGAAAGTGGATGTTTATGTTTACATTTATACGCCATAACTTCGACATAGAGGTAAGTCTTTACTTATGTTATACCAAAAACAAATATAACAGTCATTTTAGTTTAAGATTTGTCAATGAGTATACATTAATGTTCATTTTTAGCTAAGTGGCTATGTAGGCAGGCTAATTTTACCTGAATTAGAGGTCAATGCTCTAGGTCACCTGCACGTTGATAAGTAGCTTAAGGTCTTCAGCGTACCCGTTTATATACTATGACATGACGTGAACGCTGAAGATAACCCCATAGGGAAAGTCCACCAATAATCTGTGTCAGGAATCTTGACACGCTCGATATTTATTCATCGAACATGTCATGAAGTAAAGTGAAGCATACCTTGATAAAACTATTTATAATCTGTTGATAAGCCAAGGATGGACATAAATAAAAATCTTATTACGAACATAAACTAACCTAATAGTTTCCGACAGGTAAAATTTTCCGGCACTTAGACCGCCCATATTGCCAAAATGTTTGATCACGTTGATTACGAGATTGACTCTTACGAACCCATGTGCCTCCAATATTTTTATAAATTACTTTTTTTTAAGATTATGAAAAGGGTGATTTACTGACTTTTATATTCAATTCAATTGTATTTAAGTGCTAAAAAAATTTAATGAAAATAAATAAAAAACATTATCTTGAATAAAAGTATCGAAAATCATGTCAACAAAATGTTCTAAATATAGTACACGACTCTATTCAAATCTGTTCCCGGCGAAATGACGTCATACGAGATCTCGCGTGACAACCTGAAATTCATGGCCAACTGTAAGTCGGCGTAACATTGATAATTCCAGGTTAAATATGCACATTTTTAATGACGGTCATTAATATTTTGATAACTTTAATCTGGTATAGAATGATATTTAAAATTATTGTTTTATCGTAAAATGCACAAGAATTTGATTTGGGTCAAGTGTATTGCAAGTGAAAAACATAAATAAATCAACTTATGTTATTCTGGTTAGGTTTCGTAACGGGTCTAATCCAAAACTTTTATGCCGCATCAGATGAAAAACAAAAATGTTAAAAAGCGGCTTATAAAGTTTTGGAAGCCAGAACTAGTTGATAAGTCTCAATATATCGACTGTAAGACCGACCGATTTTACAAACTTTAAAATTATTTATAATGACAACTTTATCGATTTAAACTTAAGCTTGAAATATGATAGGGGCCTACTCAATGACGAAAATTGATAAACGATATCAGGATTTTTCAGGACCATTGTTGTGACACATGACCATGTTAATGAATAATGTTCTCCTATCAATGGCTGCTTCATTAGTAACGTTATGACTTTACACATTAAAACTTTCTAGATAGGTATTTACCGCTTACTTGCAATTTTATTTCTTTATTTTCTTATTTTACCATCTGACATGATCCACAGGCAATCGGTGCGTGGCTTGGATAGAAAATGTCGGAAAATAGCTTATATAGCTAATGTTTATATGTTTTTATGAAACCGACTTTAAATAAAGATTATCTTATCTTATCTTATCTTATAGTAGATTAGTATACATGTACATGACCAAGCCCACTTATTTTTTATAAAAAATTTTTTTTCACTAATAAAATATTTTTTCATTCAAAATGTTTTTAAAATATATTATCTTCAATAAATCAACAAAGGAAATTTGTTTTTAAAAATTTCATCCATATATAGTTATACTATAAATATAGTAAAGGTAGAAAGGTTCGCCAGCGGACCTACCACCAGGCCTTATGTTACCTCCCAGATCTTTGTTAATTGTAAACCAATTTGCCGATTGCCTGTGCCATGATCTGGAGGTCAGTAGCTTTAACGCCAAGTAGCCTACTTTATCCCAATTACCGGTAGTATGGTGGCTGATTTCTGTCATTTTGTGTTTTTGTGTCTTCGCCCCGAAAGTCGAAAGGCGAAGACACGAAAACATACCTATTTGTCGTTGTTTCGACTTTCGCCTTTAAGGACGAAAGCAAGAAATGTTCAAGGCGAAATAACGAAACTTTAACTCGCGAAGGGACGAAAATTTCATTGTTTTAGTTTTCTCATCGGAGGGACGGAATATTTCGTGTCCGCGCCCTTTGTTTGACGTGTTTATACATTTTATTAATTTAAACGAGAACCCTGGGACCTGTTCTGCAAAGTATCATTATGCCTACAGTTTGATGTAAACAGGATTATTAAAAAAATAAAAGAACATTTTGAGAGTACGTACGTTGCGCAAAGTTCGATTTTATATGTTGAGCGATTAATATTTGGCTATAAAATGTTAAAAGTTTAGTGAGGGATACGGAAGACATTCAAAATTTTGTTTTGTTTTGATTTTCATTTGAAACAAATAGGTATATTCTTTTGGATTATAAAACGAATTGTGAAATTCATGGACATCTGTTATGTGCTATTATTATTTCATTTAATTTGTTTGTTCGAATATATAAATGACTGTCTAAACGTAGTATAAATATATAAACAAACAAGAAGTTTGGAGTAAGTTGGAAATATATGTTCCTTGCAAACTGTTGTTTAAAATAATTGAATTTGGAGAGAAAAACGCTGGTTTTTTGATGTAAGTGGATTTTTTTTAAATCACAAAAAAGTGTAAATTTTTTTTTTCGGCCACATGATATTTTTGGTATGAATCATCTGCCAGGGTCCCATATCTAAATTATCAAATTATCTTACATATGGACAAACATATTTCGCAGTTTTAACGTGCAATCAAAATTTAATAATTTGATAAATTTGAAGAACCCAATATGGGAACAAGGCCTGTTATATAAGGGTAACGTTTTGTGTTTAAAAAATAAAATGATATTTTAATAATACCCATTTTGTTCAATCAAATGCTATGGGATTTTGGAGGCTGCGTTCTGTTTTATATATACTACATGAAGTAGGTACGAGACCACAAGGACTTCGATGTTTCGATTTTTTATGTGAGAAAGTTTTCTTACTACCATACAGAATGTCGGTCGTTTTACTCAGGTGCCCGTTCGTTTCTTTATTTATACCCAAAGGGGCACTTGTAAAACTCGAAAATGCCACATGATAATGTCAGTTTTATGAGCTGTGACACCAAACCAAAAATGACCTAATTACATGAATTAAAAAGTTATTTTTATAGCTTCATGCCCCTTTAAACATTAAAATTTTAAGCAATGGCGACTTACATTTTATTTGTTTGGGTCGTCAAACCAAACTAAAATAATGGTAGCGAAATTTTCAGGCTCTGATATGCTTATTTGCAAAATAAGAAAGTAGTTCCGAACCCCTGGAAGCGGTTACTTACCTTTATATGTACTCTAACGCTGAAAAAAATAAGGGGGATCACTGTGTTAAGATTGTCATAAATGGACGGGGCGCATTTAATTTTCAAGCCTTCTCGGGAGAAGAAAAAAGTAGTTCCCGATTGGTCAAAGATTTCAAATATTGTGTAATTCTTTACAAATATACATGTAATATTAAGCTCCATGATTATTTACATCAGTGTCAAACGAAATTAATAAGGGTTACAACCCCTAATTTAGAAATGGTATGGTTTTCTTCAGGCTGTTATCTTATAACTTCCCCGTGGCCGAAGGGTTACACGCTCGTTTAGGAAGAGAGATGTCCTGAGTTCAAATCCAAGTTAAGGCAACTCATGTTTTTTTGTTTTTTTATTGTTTAAGCCAAATAAAAAATGAAATACATATCAGTGTTGCAATAAGCCTTATAGCCAATTTACTACAGTTATGACACTAGCCACAACATTGGTGGCACTATACAAAAACAAATTGGTTTACAATCTCACAGCCTTCACCTTTCTGACATTCTGAGACCCAAACAAATTCAGCGCTTTCTGTGATTTAATTTAATTTAACATGACCATGGTATTGCAAAATTGTACCTAATGACTTGTTTATTATTAACAAGTATAAATATATATAAATTGTTATCAAGTAATGATACTTTTCAGCTATTTAGGTCATGACCTTGTTTTATTTTTTCAGGATGAATCAAAAAGACATATCTTACTTCACTTAAACTAAAAGAAATAAAAAACAACAATAAACAACAATAAACACAACATTATATAACAACATTTTCTTTCTATAGAGTGCAACTACCTGATTCTGTGAAGATCGAAGTGTTTAACATACCCTAGGTGATTTTAAATAGGACAAATAGGTTGTTGTAATGTTAATCGTGATCTCTTGAAATATAGTGGCACAAATACATATAAACATTAAAAGTAAGCATTAATGATACATTGCAAAACAGGTCCCTGGGTTTTCTCGTTTGAATTAATAAAATGATATAACTATGAAAAAAATCAACTCTCATTATAATTTTAATTAAATTTTAATATATTTTATTTTAGAATTATTACAAAGACAGAAATTGTGTGTGTACCGTATCTTTTGAAATAACAGTGTGTTCCGAATCATTTCAACATAACTTTATGAAAATATGCTAAAACATCACTGCATTCATTCGATACATTGGACATAGTAAATTATATATCAGATTTAAACATTTGTATTTTTCTATGAAACAGTGGGCAAAAAAAAATTTTTGCTTTTAAAAATTGCTTGTAAATGAAAAAATGAGTGTGTCCTTTCCCCTTCCGGGGCCCCAAACTATGAAAAAAAAAACTTTTATCGAAAAATTTTTTCAAAAAACCAAATTTGGGGGGTTTTTAGGAATTTTGAATAAATTCCGTTTGGGTTTGCTGATATTAATTACGGGTACTCTGCGCCTTATCTGATCAAAATCGGTTGAGTAATAAATAAGTTATGAATAAAAAACATACTTGAATCGGGTGAAAAATCAGGGTGTTCCGTACCCGAAAAGTCACGTGGTATGGCCACATTGTTGTAGTTACTTCGGCTTTCGACTTTCGGGGCGAAATCACAATAACACGAAAATCTGCCGTATTTTCGTTATTTCGACCTTCGCGTTTCGAGGCCAAGACACGAAGACACGACAAACAAAGGGCGCGGACACGAAAGATTTTGCCCCGCCGACACGAAAACTTAAACAATGAAATTTTGTCCCTTCCGTCGAATGCTGTGAAAAATTAAGATATTTTCTCCGCCAATGGCGTTGTAATTCCTGTAACAGATGCCAAGGATACGCAACAACGTCATGTTCAAAAATGAGCATTGATGGTCAAGTTTGACGTCGTGTGTACAAAACTTGGCTGAAACTATTGAAATAAAATCAATGTAACCAAATCGTAAATATGGTCAACTTTCTGCAATCCAATTTCAAGACAGGTAATCGAAAGTTTCGCGTTCTTACCGTTTAAGCAAAAAAATGAAACGTGATTTAAAACGCCTAAGGCCCAAATATCAAATTTTAAAATTATCCTTGCTGCCAAATCTTTATATACGGTATTTATTATTTATTTCATTGCAGTTTAAATCTATTTGTTTCATAATAACTATTGGGAAAGCCGCATTAAATCTGATACAAATAACATGTGTAATGCGTAACTTTGGAGTAACATAGAATTATAAACAAGTTAACACGCACTAACTGTAATGTCTAGTTTCTGGGCCACAAAAGGGTGGCATGTGTGTGTTTCTATTCATCTCGTGGGCACCAGATACTACATGTAAGTCAGGTGCACGTGATAATTAAGTCGTATGCACTAGACACTATGTCGTGCCCACGAGTTACTTAGTCGTGCCCACAAATTACTTAATGCAGATATTTAAAGATACTATGTCGTTCGCATGAGTTACTAAGTCATGCACACATGTTACTGCACACAAGTTACTAAGTGATGCGCTCGATATGATTAAGTGATGCACATGATTATCATTTCGTGCACACGAGTTACTATGTCGTGCAAACGAAATATTGAACCATGTGCATGAGATAAGTAAGCGGTGCGCACGAAATACTATGTCGTGCGCAGGAGTTTCTCAGTTATTTGCACGATATAATTTAGTCATTGGTTATCCTTGAGTTGCAAACGAGATAGTTAGTTCCGTCATGCGCCAAAGATAATTAACATATCAGATATATATATGAATTTTTAAAACTTTTTTGTTAAAGTTTTACATGTAAAAGTTTTACATGTAACATACATCATTTAAACTAATGAAGGCTTATACATGAAACTTGGTACAAGTCTTTAGGATCATATTAGGAGGTCAAAATCTAAGGCCCATAAATCATACATTTATTTTGACTAGTAAGTTGGACCTTTGCGGGTCAATCCTGTGATAGGGTTGATAAGTATGTATGTACTAACGGCCTGTTAACCTCGCAAATACGATAACTTAAGAAGGAATAAGCCCGGTTAACATATAATACGGCTGATTACTTCTCACGTTATTATTGGACGAGAAAGATATGACGAACGTACGTACAAACATACAGCAACATGAGTATGAGAAACCATTTAAAATTTAGTGTTGTACTTAAAATCACTATACCAGTTTTAAGTTTACTGTTTCATAGATGTTATTTCAAATTCTAACACGACCCGCATTTTTCCCTATTGAACAAAGAAGAACCGAAAGTGTGTGTTATTATGCTATAAAATCACTGTTTGACGTTCTATATTTAGACGTGTGATGTAATCATTATACACGTGACGTAACCACTAAAAATGTGACGCGCTGACAATAAGAACGGAAACAAATCAGGCGCATTTTAGCTAAATATCAGGTACGGCATCATTTATTTAATGATGTCATGTTAGAATCGAAATAATAATCGGTGATTTTATTGCTTGATAACATTACTGTTTGTCGTTAGGATGCGCATCATTATATCACTCGGGCTACGCCCTCGTGATATATAATACTCCAAACAGTGATGTTATTGAGCAATAAAATAACAGTTTGGGATATATTATTTCTTAATTGACATGTTCTTAAAGTTTAATGCTCACAATTGAGTAGAGAGATTATTTGACGACTTTTGATGTTGTAACGTTTCCATGAATAACTATAATTTTATCAAATTCTAACATGATGTTTTTAAAAACGGATAAAACAATTAAAAAAAAAATACAAGGAATGACATAGACGGTTTTGTTTTAAGTATGATAAAAAAAATCGTGCGTAGAATATTTAAAACATTTCATTTTAAAATAAACAAGTTTTAAGTATATATTTGTCAATAGGAGGACGATTTGTCAATAGGTTTGCCTTTTGAAAGATCGGTATGGTTGTTACAAAAAAAATGTGTAGTAGTGCATGAGAGTCTAATTGGGGCTCGTCTAATCGTATTGTAAAGTATATTTCTTTTTAGATCTTAGCTTTAATCCTACAATAGATAAATGTTCACGTTTTGAAATAAAATATCCCAGATCCCAAATAAGTCATAAATTGAGGATTTGTATTGTATTAATTGCGAGTAGTTGTCCGTTATTTAACTTAAAATATTGAACTTTTTGTTTGATATAATATCAATTTTTGTTTAAAGAAATATCGACTGGTTGAAATTAAGTTAGCTGATATATAATATACAAATACTATTTAAAATATTTTAATTAGTAATAAATTCACAGATTTACAAACCATTGCGGTTCCAAAGTATTGACATCATGACATAGAGTGGTAATGATAATACTTGATAGGTAATATCACCAAGAAATAACAAAAAGAATAGAAACACATACAATTCGTCACAAATATTTAGTATAATTACATATCTAAATTGTATTGCATAACACTTTTAAATGATTGAAAGACAAATCCTCCTTGAAATGTGATAATATATTTAAGCAATTTACAGGTTTTTTTTTCAGGTTTAGCTCGTGATTTACAAGACACGCTAATGCATATAATTCTTAAAGTTGGAAAGACAAAAGTGTGCAAGCAATGGCTTCATATAGCGCTAAACTGACAGAAACAAAATACAATAACTGGGTTAAAGCTCAGTTAGCTGTGCTGTTTACCAAAGAAGGACTTGAACCTTTTGTTTGTAATGAAATTCACCAATTTCAATTAAAATGCTTAGATGATATTTGCTACCACAATGGACTTTTCAATGGGATTTGTTGTTCAAGTTGCTGTACGGAGAATCTTGTTAATTGCCCTACTGACAATATATGTAAGATAAGGCACAGGAAATGTACTTATCATCGAAATGTTGCAACAAGGTACCATTCTTCTGGCTGTCCTAACAAGATATGTCATAACTTCAAATCTGAAATACAGAATGCGCATAGGTACAACGACCCGTCGTTCAAAAACACAGATGCTTCCCAGTGGTGTAGTGATTTCTGGGAAGTGGCGAAATGCTTCATGCCCCCAGATGGGTATAAAGATAAAGCATCTGCAACAGAAACAGACTTCAATGGGATAATCAGCATTATTCTGAATTACAAAGACTTCCAGGGGAAATTACATGAAAACCTTAATAATAAAACGAACGTTTTTGAAAAGGTAAACGATATTTAGATACTATTGATGAGGACAAACGTTAGGTCCGTCCATAGATAACAAAAATGAAATTTATATATTTCAATGATTTATGGTTAAATATAATAGTACAGTTTGACATATGTTATACATTTTACTTTGTTTTTATCATGCTTTCTGAACATAAAGAAAGGTCAGAGGTTTGGTAAGCGCGTTAAGGATATTTTGGCTCGCATCGTCTACATTTTTATGATTTCTTTAATGTTTTAGAATTTAAAAGCTACTTTAATAGAAGTATTACCATCAAGTTCCCAGAGGCATATTGATACGATTTCGTGATAAGACAATCTACTGGGCGGAACAGTGGATTTGTTTACCCAAAATATGCTATAGCATTAAAAATTTTCGGAAGGCATCTCCTCCTTTTCTGATCAAGATATTAAGCAAATTTACAGAACATATGTCCCCACGGGCCTTCTGTGCTTAATGCCAGATTTTTTATATAACTATATGTAGATAATGTATGGCCCATTGCAGATGGTCTTTTGCTTTCTTAACTGTCCCAATGATTATTTGTGCAAGTCGTCAGGGTTTTGTTATTTAGTTGAATTTGGATATATTATGACTCATTGCAAAATTTATTTTCATTAAAAAACCAAACAAACGAGAACTCAGAAAAAGCATTGTTTACAAGCACTCCTACATTTATCAAATCTTTCAGTCAAATCCTTTATGTTCATGGAATTTACATGACATATTGTCGTGGTTTGTGTCATTATTTATCATTTGAAATTATGTTTGGTGACCTTTAATAAAGAGGAATACAAGTATATGAGACTTCAAAATGATAAATTCCCCGGTATTATTTGACTGTTTCCAACGCAGAAGGCAATAGTAAAAATGCATTCAGCAGACCACTTTTCTAGGTATTACATTTTTAGGTAAACACATTTTAATCGTGTTTGTAATGCATTTTTGTTAGTAATGTTTCACTATAACAAAGCAGTCTTACAATTAAGAGTTAATTATCTTAATTATAATAAGATAATAGATTTTTAGGTAAAAGTAGATTAGAACTGTTATTTTATTTTAACCAGGCAAGAGAAATTGGACGAGATGTGCGACATTCTTCTAAACTAGAGGTAGAAGATTCAGATCTTCAGAAATACTTCAAACTATTACAACAACTACTTTCTGATCCCGTATATTTAGCTACAAACACGCATGCGCAGAATGCTTTACATAAAGTTACAAAGGTAATTAACGAATTTCAAACATATATTTGATCGTATCTGAAGAACATGATATATTCCGTGAAATTTTTATAATTTACGTAAAAGGGTACAAATCTAATTAAATAATTTTATTACATGTATTGTATTTGAGTAAATAAGCCTTTTTCATAAATGCCTTTTGGAATTACATTTGTTTTCTCTTTAAAATTTTCAACGCTAATTTTGTTTACTATTGAGGGCATATTTTTACTTGTACACTTTATCATAATGTTGATCAACATTAAGTTTACAAATCAGTAATGGCATACATGGTTCACGTATTTGTACAAATAAGCTATGCATATAAATATATCTTTTGAATGCACACTTTATAATTAATTTATATTAAATTCTGATGTACATTGATTGATTAATTAATTTATTAATTAATTAATTGAT